AGCAGCTGTAGGATGCTTCATCGGAGACAAGCGGACATGATGGCTCTGACCGTGGGTTACAGACGGGTAGTCGCAGGAAAGATTGCGCATTTCAACCCAGGTCCTCCCTGTGTAATGTCTTGTGCCAGCGCATTCACCGACGAGGCAAATTCTGTCCAACCTTCGGGTGAAATCTCGGTGATGAGTCAATTCATGTCAAATCCTGACGTTGGTTGATGTTTGTTGGTCTCAACAGCGAAGGCATGTGCGTAAATTTGATGACCACCGAGCAAGCATGCATGAAATGAAACATGCAGCACATGCGGAAGCCATATCCATGAATAGCATATTCGCTGAAGCCGCAGGCGATCCGCTGCCGAATCCCGTATGCCGAAGCAGAGGTCAGAAGAAGGTCCACGTAGCATGGCATTGTTGAGCATAGCATAGCGGCAGTGACAGTTAATTGAAACGGCGTCAGAAGATTGGACCACAAGTATCAAGCAATGCCGCACAGATCCAAAAGGATTCAGCGCAGGATCTCAAGAGGCTGAATTTCATGCCGTTCGGTGCTTTGCGCCTGTGCCTGTGCTAGGCTGGGCAGACTCTCACTTGAGTGTCAGAGTCAGACCCCCGGTGAGATGAGGCCCCTTCCATCTCCCTCAGAATCCTCCTAGGGCATCTGGCCTTGTCTCAGCATATGATGAGATGAGTTGGGGCCTGAGCTCTTACTCGTGGGTCCTTGCGGATGTTTTCCAGAAGCTCCGGGGATGCCATCCGAGCCATAGCTCTCAGAACAAGTTTTCTGAACTGTTCCGAGGCCCCCGTTGGAGTAGGGAATATCCATGAAATTCCCATCTTTCGCAACTTCTTATTAGAGTAATTCGTTTGCGTCGTGGATGCGTTTAGACATGGCCCCCAAGTCCTGTACTTAGCCCCGACCGAAATAGATGTATATCCAAAACAACCGTCGCTGTCATCCAACGGACTTGTTAGACTCATGTACCTACAAGGTCCACCCCCGCACTAGGACCAGCTACTCGGGACCAAATTCGCCGTTTCACATCTCGCGGTAGTAAGGGGAACCCTACCACTCTCTCTGGCTTTACTTCTTGGGCAGAACTTGCCATGTCCATGTCTTCAAATTCGCAGACAATGACTGGTCTTCGCGGCGTGAAACGTGACCAGATGAATATGCGAGTGATGGCGTGAGGACCCGGTATTGTAAGCTTGTGGGAGATTAATTCAATGCACCGACCCTATCGTCTGACAAAGTAGATGCCGAATCCTCATGGATAGTGAACTCTACTGTACAACAAATAGATAGGGGCTGATCCTGCACTATCCGACTCATAGGATCAATTCCTACAGTATGCTGCTGTGTCTATCATTGCGAAACAGAGCCCATTCTGCGTTAGATCAATTAGTGTCGGACCGTCGAAAAGTTGCCAAACTAGTCTCGAATAGACGGTCTTCAACAGTTGCCTGTTGAGGGAGTTGACGTGGCATGCCAGCACAGTCAGAATGACTATCTGCGGTGGTGAGGCTGATTAACCATTCCAACGACATGTGCTCAATTGCATCACCAAGCATGACGCCTGACTGATGACTTGTGAATATTGCTGAGCCATGTCGGCGATAACTCACCTGCATCTCGTCAAAGGGAGACAAACAGAAGTAGACTCAGCTGACAGAGTGTCAAATTGATATCATTTCTCCTCGCACGAGGTGTTCTAGTACCACCACGAATTGTGATATCCAGTCAGCATCGTTGAGTTCGACGCCATGGCTCTGTGAATTGGTGCTTTATGCATCATTGGTCTCATGATGAAATGGCGGCCTATGCAGCACCGTACATTTATCCCTCAAAAAGCACATGCATAGAGGGTTGTTGCATCTATACGTGATGCTAGATATGAACCACACCATGGTCTCTCACGCGATGTAGATATCGAGTGCACCATATCATGGCCACGATGCCGCGCCACGCCCTTCCGATCTTGTCTATGTTTGTCGTGCCGCAACGTCTGCAACTCACCAGGAACGGCATGCGAGGTGTTGGCTTCGCAAACTCCCACACAGTCCAGCCCGAACTGATATTTCGAAGTAGGGTGACCACCTTTGCCAACGAAAGTGACTGGTCACCTATGTAAGACGACCCATGGGGCCGGCCCGAGCCAGGGCTAGCGATTCCAGACACAACCTTCAACAAAAGACCATACAAATGGCCGATCAGGGCTCACATACGGCAGCACCCATCAGCGGTTTTGCCAGCACAACCACCAACACAAAATTGGCAGCAAATGAGGTGCAGAGGAGCGCGGCTCGATGGGTACCCTAGGATTACTGTTCATCGTCTTAAGGGTTCCAAGGTTGCACTCGTCAGCCTACATACAGCACACTGCCAGCTGACCCGACAATTGGGCACGTACATCTCATATGCTGTGCCGTAGGTGCCTAGACTTGGTGTGGTGAGATTGGCAAGGCTGAAGTCGCGAATATCCCCAATATGTTCGAGATGTGGAGTTGATATTTGCCAGCACACGAGGGTTGTGTGATGATGGTCTTGACTATCAATAGAAAACAAGACAATCTCGATCTTGGTGTCTTTAACTAGGCGAATTGCCATGACATTGAATTCTACCAGGCATGCATGAACCAGCCAGTGATTTGTGAGCGGCACGATACATTTCATTTTCAGACGGCAGCCAAGCTGTCAGACAGTATGATTTGTGATAACTGTCAAAAATGGCAAACAGCCCGCTTGTCAGTGACACCTTGCAGTGTCCCGACCGAACCTCTGCCATTGGTTCCATGCTGAGGTATTTGGTGACCTTCATGCGATGCAACATGTTGACTGGTCATAGTTGATAAAGCTCTGTGGCTACACAACATATAGCCTGTACTACAACAATCTCTGACGCATCTTACTAGTTGCTGTTCCGTATAGAAAATTCCACCGGGTTGCTGGGGCCTGTATAATGAAGTCAATCAAACAAGAGATCACGCTCAGTATATTGCCAGCCACTGGTGTCAATAACCTGTAGCACACGCCTCAAGACTAACAGTCAGCGCCGACGCCAAAAGACGTCAAAGCTATGGCGGTCAGGGATCTCGAGTCAGGGGCCCATCAGAAGGATTCTAGAAGGCTGAGTATCTAAACGAACAGACCAAAAACCCGACAACCCTCAGGATGTGAGGTAGGGGTTCTTGGTCCCTGGATGTTCCAAAGCAAAGTATGCCCACCAAGAGTGGCATCCCAATGATCCGTGGTGATTTGCAACTGAGGATCGGTGTAGGTTTCCATAGCTTTCAAACTCGTCAAAGGTTCGGGCATCTGGAGCATGGTCTGCGGAGTTTCAATTATGCCCAACAACCAGCTTCAATATAGGCGATACAGTCGGCAGTTTGTACCGTTGTGTTGAAATCAGTGGAAGAGTGTCGTTTCGAAACCAAATCGCCAAGATTCGCGATGCCTGGCTCGATTCTCCACTGATTGCCAGGCACAGTTGATCCCCTGAGGCAATGGCGTCTGTTGGTCCAAGCCTCCAAGTTGGGCGACAGATTAAACTTTGCACATCACCAATGTACGTATTTCGCAATCAATCGCCTTGTCGTTATACCGTTTCGGTGCCGACTACCACAGCATTCCATTGCGTAATGTTGATTTTGAATCCTTCTATGAGTCAATGAGTCTTGGACTGCGAGATACCCAGAAGCAATACACAAGTAATCAGGTGCTGAATTTAGGCTCTGAGCCATCAATAAAGCTGGCTTGGGGATGCCGCGGACGCTAGCAAACAATGGCGCCTTGATACCTAGTCCAACGCTTTGATGGACCGGGGAAAAGTCCCGCGAAATGTGTTGGCCGTTGATATTGGTGGTCAGGCATGGACAGTGAGTGTTGTCTTCTTGAAACCGCTGTCGGGGTTTTTCATCCATTCGACACATATACGCCGTTGGTACGGAGTACAGAGTATCAAGGTCTGGGATTGATGTGATGCTACCCCCCAACCTCAATTTCCCCAGAACCCCTTCTTGCGCGTCAATGATGTGCAGCAGCCACAGGCCCAAGCTTTGTGTTGTCAACGAATCTGCAGATGATGATCCTGTATGAAATTGTTTGCCATATGGCGCTCTGTAATTTGCTTCTCTGGCCACCATGTTTCCGGATGAGTTCGCCGGCGATTGATCCATGGAAAATGGTGGTGCCATGCCCTCTTGGTGGTCTGTTGCTCCTGAATCCGATCCAAAATTGAACATTCTTGCAAAGCCTCCTCCGGGTCATGTTTCTTACCATCAGCTCGGGTCAATTGAAGGCGCAGGCTCAAGACTCCACTGTAAGAGGAATTCGCCGATGTTCAATGAGATCGAATGGCTGAGCATCGACTCCATTTTGCAGTACATGGGTATCGTAGCTCAATTCGTCACGGAAAGTCAATGCTACCTATGCCCTGAGTGTTTAAGATGCTCGTTGTTTGCTGAGACCAACACTGAGAGGTTGTGACACAGCTGCAGATCGAGGAATCGAATGTTTGTTCCGAGGTTGGTGTGTTGTAATAGATTAGTACAAAAAACTGTTTTAGATACCATCGATTGATCATCACAGACGTATCAAGTATGGATTGTCTGATGCATGTAACAACGGTCTGTACTGCAACCTTGAAGTTATCAACCTCAAGGGTCGGTGGTTCTTATCCGAATATCTACACCTCAATAGGAAGGCCGAGCTGATAGATCAAACGTAGATTGGCGGTTCGGATGCACGTTGTCACCCATTTGCCTAATCCATACGGCATTGAATGCAGCGGCAGGCGCGCAATGAGCGGGCACTCCCGTGGTATCAATCCCACCGCGTGGTCTGTATCAGTCCAATCATCAAGGCAGGATGGTCTGGCGCACCCATCACGAGCTTCTCTGCGTACCCGATTGCGCGGGATGAAGTCGTCTTAGAGGTGCCAGCTGTGTCGAACTAAGGAAAGACTAATGCCGCTTCTACACTCTGCCACGAATGATTGATGAATTCAAAATAGCCTCGTATGCGGTGCCGCAAACTTATCAATCTTGTGGTGATTGGACTCAACCTGGACCTGGTCGAAGCTTTCGTATACGACTCTGTCCTCGAAGGGGCTGCTGTTTGCATAGAGTATGCTTAAACAACAGACACCATCAAACGGCTAGTTACCATCTTGCAGCATGCTCGTCAATGGTGTCCTTCCCAATGAAAACACATGTAGCTCGCCTCACGCGAACAATTGGACCCCAAGATGCAATTCGCATATTGTATCATTCACAATGGTGGGCTTCATAACGCAGCAGGTTGATGCGAGCCAATGCAACAGGTCTGACGCTGTGCCACTTCTTGCTGGCATGGCATTGCATAGGTCGCCTGCAGACCATCAGGTGCCCAGAAGCAATGACGCGATAGAATGCATGGTGAGACCGAGCATTGCGTTGTGCCTTGCGCCGACAGGGCAAGGTGATTGTGACGCAGTCGCTGTAATTACTACACACAGTCGAGTGTTCAAAGTCTCGAGACAGAGCTTGATGGCATACTGCAGATGCTGGTTGGCGGTCCTCCACAAAGGGTTTAAGACCTCTGACATACTGCTTAAGGAAGCGCACGTGGATGCAGCCCGTAGAACAGTGGAAATTGAGGGCGTGCCCCAGAAGTCTTGGAACGGAATAATCGGCATCCTTTGCTATGCTCTGTAAGAATACGGCGCATCTTGGACTGGCCGTGCCAACGCCCAGAATGGATTAATACGATGGACAATACGGCCGCTTAGCAGGCCGCGGGCTTGGCGTTCACCATGTTATGGCTAGGTAGGTAACTGTGGCCCTGTGGATAAGATAGCTCAAATGGAACGACGATAGAAAATCAACTTGAATACGAGATCTCATATCGGGTGCAGCATGCCTGAGAGGCAGAAATACATAGAAATACCTCAGACAAATCGAGTGCCTGAATATGGCGCGTGATAGCTTGGACGGAACATCGCATCCCTTGTGTATGCAAGGGCCCTGGCTGGGCCATTATCTCAATAAGACCTTCCAGTCATGACCGACATGGCCGAGACACTGCCCCTCATCCGAGTTGGAGAGAAACTGCAAGTCAAGGCGGCAGCTGTGTCGGTGGATTGAGTGATGAGCCTTTTTCACCCCTCTCAAAGGGCCAATGGATAATTTCTGACGATGGGACTGTGGCACAAACCAATTCGAAGTCAGACACGTTGAAAGGGTGAGAACTGGGTCAAGCTTCAGGAGTTTAGAATGCCATCACCAAATGTGATAGCAAATGAGCTTGCCCCGTGATTTCTGCAGTGCCAAAATGTCTGTGGTTCGTTTATGAACCCGCACTGTACCCCCGCGCTCGTCTTTCATTGTTGTATCCCTAATGAGATTCCCTACGTCACCCGGCAATCGCGTCATATCGCCATTCTGGCCGCCCTTATTTTCCCGTGAACAAACTGGTTTGCCAGGTCCGCCCATTTAATAGGCTGATGGTGGAATTTGGAAGACTTGTATTGCTCTTGAATCTGCCATTTTGCGATTCATTTGTCTGTCAAGCCATGCCAAATGAAAGAAAGGGCCCACAAAGTTGACTGAACGATTTGCCTCTAAGGTCGAGTGTTGACACATACACAAGGCTGACCGATACCGCAGGTCTTCTCCCGAGACACTTGAGATCAGTCCTTTCAGGGGCTCGAGGCAGACAACCCCCCATGTCTCACAACCATGCCCCTTGGCCCTTAAGATCCCTTAGGGGCCGAGAGCCCACAATAGATCCTCCAGCCGATTGGATGATGGAGCAAGCAAGCGACGTCATTGTTCTTCCCCACGCAATTGAGCAAGCCCTTAACGAATCAATGGCGAATCAGAATTCCACTGGCGTTTATGGCTGGCCCAGCACACCGGTGCCGTTTGAACACCCAATTTGCTTCTCAAGAAACTCGAGATGCTGGAACCGCTCAAAGAATATCCTATCACCGGCCCAGATTGGAACAAGTACCTGCACACCGCATGTGATACGACACTGTTGACATGGTCTTCGTTGCTGGCTCTTTGTCGTTCGGGGTCCAGAATGGATACCTCGTGACCATAAGAAATCTTGCCGGTCTGTCTAAAAATGTCGGTGTATGCAGCCTAAGATGAAATGCGGTCCATGGTTTGTCGTTTTCCACGACCCCGCTATTGGATTCTCAAGACTTCCAACAAGGCTTCTGATGATAGCAGGCCTCGATGTGTTGAGTAACAAGCGCGAATGGGATTCTGGTATAGCCCGTTAGAGTCTTGAGGGCAAGGAATCTGGTATGGAACACTTCTTAATATCAATTCTATTATTGTCCCCAAGTCAACATGTGCATGAATAAAGAAATATTGAAAGTCCATGTCCGTTGGAGTCGAGAAGGATATACGCCTGGCAAGGCTGCAGGCTGTGTGTATTACCGAGTATTTGTGATAAGAAAGCGGGGGATGGCGTCCGTCAAAGATGATGGATGAGCGGACAGCCGTACGGGCAGTATGCATTCTCCGTGGCCACGGCCGAGATATCTGGAAGGTCCCCACAGCGACATGCTGCCCGCAGCAAACAATCTTTGTTATGTGCACACCCCTATGCAGGTTCCAAGCCGGTCCGGGGCCCTCGTCTTCCCCCTGTCTGGAGCTTGGGGGCCCTGACCTAAAATTGGCGGGAGTCGGCGCCAAAGGATCGACGAGATGATGATCTCATTCCGTTGTTGGCTATTCAGAGGTTTGTTTCAAGATGTCTCTTGCGCAGCATGAGGGTATTATCAAATCAAATGGCGTGTTGCTCAGATGTCCCACAGAATTTGACGGAATGTGGGATAGACATCTGAGGTCCAGGAACTGGTATCCTGGGGCATTCAGCCTCCCAAGTCTCAGGCTCTTCTGCCACCACTTCCCATGACGCTCTTCAACCCATCCTCTGGGTCCAAGACTGCGATTGGCTTCCCCACGAGATTTCCTTGACCGGTGTATGATCCGTCTGGTACCTCGTGCCTAGTCACGCTTGGAAGTGATTTACCCTGATGTTTGATTGTATTGTTTCGAGAGGGAGGAGAGACTGGAAAACCAATACGAGGAATCGAGAGGGCAAGTTTGACAAAAGAGATGGCAATCCAATGCTCCACTTGCGCTGGTGGTCAACAATGCGATGCTATTGTCAGCGAGCGGCACTTGGCCGTGTTTCGCTATTAGCAAAGCGGCAAAATGCGATAATGCCACGTCACCACGACCATAAGACTGTTGACGACGGAATGATAGACATATCACTGGGTTTATGTGACCCCAGGTCCCTTGGTTCGACCTTGTAAACGAGGGCAATGCGAAATCGTGTCTGGATTACCATCCTGCATGCCCTATCGAGTAAACCCTGCCCCCCCTAACCGAGTATTTGGGTACAGTCAACCGTGGGTGCGTGGCAATCTGCACTGGGACCAGCAAGGAATTGAAACCCAACATGCCATGCAGTGATGCAGCCTTGTGCACAGCTCAGCCGCATATAGGCGAGACCTCAGTAATCTGTAATCTGGCGGTCACTTTCGAAGGTCAGGATGTGGTATCCTCTAGTAAGAGTAGGGCAGGGTTAACAGCGACGGTTTACCGGGGAAGGTTGAGAAGAGCCTTCCGGCGCTCGTGACAGTGGATACGAGAAGGCCCTAAGCTGGTAGCACGAGGAACCACGCGGGTGTTGGTGTTGAAGTTAACATTTTGATAGTTGCTGTGGATGAAGCTAACGGTTTTCTCAAACAAGCTGCTTGGATTCCCTGCTGATACTGAGATTAGACGATACAATGGCAGCTGAAGTAAGCGAATGCACCATCCTGCACTGTATAGAGAAAGCTCAGTCATCGCTTTCTCCAGTATAGTGGATACAATCCCTTGAATAGCTGAGATTGCCTCGAGATGCTAAAGAGACACGATGTGATGCTGACAGACAACACGAACGTGGAGGATTGAGATGCTGGAAGAGATTGATAGCGCCCTAGGAAGGTTCAACCTCTAGAGACAAAATACATAGGCAAGTTATCAGGGGCTAAACGGGCTGTCTGATGTGTTTATTTTGGCAGCCTTGTTAAAGTTCAAAGTTTTTTTTTATAGTTTTTTTTTGGCTCCTTGCAGACGCTATTCGGCTATGCCTGCGAGATCCAATTTTGGAAGCTGAGGCTGATAGCTTTAGTGGAAGCTACTCAGTAGAATCAGGAAATGACCGAAGACTCTCTTTCTGCCAAGCAATATAACAACATCAAACACTACCCGCACCTCAGGTAGGGTAGGTGCATCTTCGATTTTGGGTCCTGACATTCAAGGCATGGGATTCAACACCAGACCATGCATCATCACGATATCAATATCGGCTGTTAGTCGATCTAAATCATTGCTGTTGCTCGTTTCAAATCTTCGGCTCTGCGGCCCCGTTCAAGGGCCAATTTCCCTCCGGTCGGGTCGGGTTGTTTGGCTGGAGTCGAAAGCAACATTGGCGGTCCACACATCGTGTCAGACTGAGGTCATTGTTGGAGGAGGCTCAAAAGCCCGGCCAGTCCAGTCCAGCTCAACGCAACCTAAAGCAGAGCAACGCTACGCTGCTGAGGCGCATCGCGGAGGAGGACAGTCAAGCCGACGTTCAGAGGCTCGCCAGCCCCCTTGCGACAGCATGAATCCTTGGGGCACAGGCACTTTTGCTTACTGCTCCCTCTGTGGCTCACTTGTTGGCAGTCTTGCTCATGTGGCTCCATGTGGCCTATAAAGTCAAATCTCTGGCAAACAGATCGAGTCATCGCCTACGTATGCTGCATGAAAGAGGTACCACGTTTTGATACCAGAGTCCAAGTCAACGTCCGTGGAGATTGATTGGCAGCCCTGCTCCTTGACCAACGCCGGGCACATGGTTAGCCATGTGCCGAAGCGAGAGATTGAAGTACTGTACACGCGAGCGCACCCAATTCTAGGCGCGGAGATGGGTACTGTACGCGTATTGGCGGGCGTTGAACGGTTGAAGCTTCTACCATCCCCTGTCATGGAATTGTTCTTTTTCTCTGGCTATCGAAACTTGAATGCGGGTACGTAGTGACAGGCAGTGGCTCCGCGTGCTGTCAATGACTCCTCGGGCTCAGTGACTTGCTCCCCAAGATTGTTTAGTCTTGGCCGGATCGCTAGCCGAAGCTGTCCTCTTTTTTCTGTCTGCTTACTGGTTCAAAGTAAGCCCTTGGAACCACCAGTTTGTGTCAAAGCTCTTTGACATTTCTTTTCCTCCCTTC